AAACGTTGAAAAAAAAAATAAAAATAAAAAAAAAAAAAGAAAAACTTAATACCAATTTCCATGTTCTCAAGCCAAAAGTCTGAAATGTTTGAAGTAATTAAATTGACTGAAACTAAGTTTTTCCAGAGAAGGCTAAGTTAAACTGACATTATAGCGCAGTATCTAGAATTATTTGCCAGAACCAGGGGCACCTGCATGGCTCAGTCAGTTAAGCGTCTGACTTTGGCTGAGGTCATGATCTCACAGTTTGCGGGTTTGAGCCTTGCGTTGGGCTCTGTGCTGACAGCTCAGAGCCTGCAGCCTGCTTCGAATTCTATTATCTCCCTCTCTCTCTGCCCCTCCCCTACTTGCACATGTGCGTGGGCTCTCTCTCTCTCAAAAATAAACACTAAAATTATTTAAAAAAATAGAATTACTTGCCAGAAGTGAACAATCTCAAAGGAGACTACCTTCTCTGTGTTTGAAGTGCACTGTTGCTCCCCAGATTTTAGAGTCTTAGCCTTAGAATAGAGGTATGTCTGGGTATAACCAAGTTAGAGGTAGGTACAAGCTCTAGCCACTATAATAATCCTAATAGAGAATGTGTATTGAGCATATGTCCCATGCCAGCCTGTGTTAAGCTCTCCACAGGCAACATCTCTTAAAAATTTCACGTTATTATAAAGTAGGTTCTAGTATTATCCACCCCCTACCTCCATGAAGAAGCAAGTTTGAAGAGGTTAAATAGTGTAAGTTCACACAGCTAGGAAGTAGACTAAGGGTTCAGGGTTTTTTTTTTGGATTTCAGTATCCACATTCTCACAGTACATTCTGCCATGTAGGTGTGGTGTGTAGGGATTATGGTTTGACTTAAGAGTTGAGATATTCCAGGGGCACCTGGGTGGCTCAGTCAATTAAGCATCTGACTCATGATTTTGGCCCAGGTCATGATCTCATGGCTCTTGAGTTCAACCCCTCATCAGCCTCTGCACTAACAGCGCAGAGCCTGCTTGGGATTCTGTCTCCCTCTCTCTCTGCCCCTCCCCCACTTGCTTTCTATCTCTCTCTCAAAATAAATAAAAATAAACCTAAAAAAAAAAAAAGATAAATTTTAAGTCTAAAAGTGACATGCCGTAACCAACTTCACACTGGAGTTATTGCCAGAAAAGAAGACAGATTTTTTTTTTTTTTTAATTTTTTTTTTTCAACGTTTTATTTATTTTTGGGACAGAGAGAGACAGAGCATGAACGGGGAAGGGGCAGAGAGAGAGGGAGACACAGAATCGGAAACAGGCTCCAGGCTCCGAGCCATCAGCCCAGAGCCCGACGCGGGGCTCGAACTCACGGACCGCGAGATCGTGACCTGGCTGAAGTCGGACGCTTAACCGACTGCGCCACCCAGGCGCCCCAAAAAAGAAGACAGATTTGACTGAAGATTAATACCTTAGCCCTAAAGTAGAATTAAATTCAGCTAATGGACATACGCTACATTGCACTGAAGGGAATTTTATGCTGGTAAAGACAGTGTAACTTTCCGGAAATAATGGTTGACATCACAATGTAATTTTGAAAGGCCACATGCCACCAACTTTAAACTGGATCATTTATCTTACTCTTAAAGTCTTCATCAAATAATGAGCAAAGCCAGTTTTATCAAATTTAGGAGTTTATAGACGAAGAGTTATTAAGACCTAGAGATGTAAAATTACTGTTTTGATAACTTGCAAAACCAGGTTATAAAATATGATTTGCAGAAATGTATGCATATTGAAGTTTATCAAATATTCTTTTTTTTTTTAACATTTATTTATTTTTGAGAGACAGAGAGAGACAGCATGAGCAGGGGAGGGGCAGAGAGAGAGGGAGACACAGAACCAGAAGCAGGCTCCAGGCTCTGAGCTGTCAGCATAGAGTCCGATGCGGGGCTCGAACCCACGAACCGTGCGATCATGACCTGAGCTGAAGTCGGACGCTTAACCGACTGAGCCACCCAGGCGCCCCTATCAAATATTCTTAAAATAGTTTGGAGTAATTTGCTCAAGAGGCTGTGAAGGAACACCAACTATCG